TATATATGCATGTCTGTATGTGTATATATGTATATATACATATATATACATTTATATATATGTATATATATATATATAAAGCAGCTTTTCTAGTTGTCTTCATTAAGAGGGTTGGTTAGAATTGTCTAGGATGTCATTAATGTATGTGGATGTTCCTTAATATACCCACTGAAAAGATGAAGCACAGAGAAGCTAGATAACTTGCTCAAGTTTAAATCATGGCAAATGGTAGACCTGGGATTCACCCCAGGAATACCTGCTCCAGTATCTGTTTTCTCAAGCATCTGCTTCCTGCAGGGATGAAATACATTATACATTGCTTTTTGGTGACATAAGAACAAATCTTGGAAAATCCTAAGGAATATATTTCTGGCATTTATTTCAATATTTCTACCAAAGATTACTATAGTGGTAAAGCAATTCAGGAATACATCATAATCGGAATATAACATGGGCCAGCCAAGAACTAGAAATACTCTACATGTCTGTTAACAGAAGAATAAATAATGTGTTGTATATTCATAAAATTAAATACTACATAGCAATAAAAAGGATTGAACTGCTGATACACGCAGCACGGATGAACCTAAAATACATTATTCTAAGGGGGGAAAAGTGCCCTCTTCTTTTGTGTTTTAAAAGTTTAACGTTTTTATCTAATATTATCTCAAGGATTAGGGCAAATATAATCCTGCTGTCTGATTAATAGTTTCTTTATATATTTTGTAATTTTGAATTGTGAATTAATCTTTAAGTGGGCTTTCTTTACAGGAATTTTTATGCCAGTCAACAATGTTTTCAAGAGTACTTAGTTTTGTGTTTCCTTTCACTAATATACCCTCCTGCCCCATTCACACTTTTATGAGAATTTTTTGATTTGGGGCCTTTGGAGACTATGAAGCTTATGTAAATTCAAACTTAGATTTTTAAGTCAGGCCTACAGTTATGATATCCCAAGGAAGACCACTGTTTTCAACACACAGATCAGGCCAAGACAGATAAATTTTCCCCATGTACTAGTGAGTAGAGTTTTTGTTTCACTGAGTATATAATTGGGAATGTTATAGTTTTGGTTCCAACTTTCCATCTTGGTATAGTCAAGACCTTGTATCCTATAGCTACGTGGTCAAAAAACCACACACCCTCTGGTTACCTCAGGCCACAGCTTCCAACACTAACATCACCCCCACAACTACCACCTCTACTAGGGCAGTCCTAGTACCAGGTCATGTTTATTTACTTCATGATTTTTGACCCTTGTGAATTTTTCCTTCTATTGTGGTTAACTTTGCCTTTTAAAAAGATGTCAGCTACAGCTTAGCCAACATTTCTAGTTAGCCAACATTTCTAGTTGGTGGGAGAGTTTTCAAATTTTCTGTTCCCTCAATGTTGTTTATCAAATAAGTTTTAGAAATGCTAAACTCACCTCTTCCTTGGAGATTTTTTTCTCCTTTTTCTTTGGAGATTTACATCATTAGCCTGCTAAAAGACAACAATTTAAATTTAAACCTTTTTTGAGCAATGTATGCTAACACTTCTCCTGTTGTGGGTTTGCCCCTGAATCACTCTGTTGTTTGTATATTATGAATGAGGCAGTTTCCCTTATGAGAAAACTCAAGATGAGTCATGGGCTTAACTGTTTCTTCAAGTCACTGCTTTAACCTGTCAATAGGATCGTGTTGTACTCTCAGGATGGAGGCAGGTAGGGAGGTGCTTTCTCTTATAGCATGAAAGCAGATATGCACTTTTAAAAGAAATATCAGTAGTTAGAAGCATAGAAGAAAATAAATCACCCTATTTTATGCCATTTAATGGACAATTTGACTCTGTTAGGAGGTAGCACTTTTCCAGTCAGTGGAATAAAGGCTCTGAAGGAGGGTCAAAGGACCTGATACTACAGTTATGGCTTTGCCCACAGGTGCTTCCCATATGCAGGAGTCAAGGATGTGAAAAATCTTAGAATACTCTGTACAATAGGTTTATTAGTCAAAATGATTTAAAATCAATGGTTAATCCACAACCAGCTGGTTTCTAATGCCATTTATTAGATTAAGATTCATGCTCAGAATTTACTGAAAAGAGAACTAGAGATTGAAGGACAATTCCATAGAGTGACAGCTCTGTAATTTTGTAAACTTGGCAGGTTGTCCCTCTGAGTCTGGGCCTTATCCTTTTAACTCTACCAAAGTAACTAATTAGAATTTTAGGAATTATATGCCCCACCAGGGACAATAGAACACGAAGAATTCTGATGGTATAGAATTTTCCAAAGTATAATTTTTAAGGTCAACATGATAAATTGGATGTCTATCAACTAGAAACCCATTTAGGGAGATTTATAAATTACTTCTTAGATATCAAAAATACAGAAATGGGAGGGAAAACTCATTCAAATATTAATAAGAAACTGTTCCTCTCTCATTCCCTAAAAAAAGGAAAATGAAGCCCAGAATCCACTCTGAATGCTCATCAAAGAACCTCCCATTGAGATAAATGTTAATCCTGTTTTTCAATATTTGCTGCTTAAAGATTGCTTGTGTTCATCAGAGGGGTTCTGAGTCAGAACCCCAGAATCTCTTGGGCAGAGAGGCCTTGGTGAGTCTTACTGGTCTCTCCCCTCCTCTCTGCTGCATTGGGTGCCTGTGCTACTGGGAAGCCTCATGATGAATAAGAGCAGAGTCACCCAGGGTAGGGCTCCAGATGCTGGAGCATCGAAGTCGTCCTAGAAGGCTTTGAAAGCACCAGAGGCCACCTGGGGCTGTCCCACCCTGACCTGTTCTGCTGTTTGACTAAGGTGTTTAGGTGCTTCTTGTCTGCAGCAGCCATCACAGAGCCTGGCGCACAGTGGATGCTCACCCAGCCCGGGTCCTGGCATGTGGCAAGTGCTCAACCAGTGTGGGCTTGACACATCCTGGGAGCTCAGCAAGCACAGGGTTTGGCATGCACCGGACCCTCCCTTGGTAGAAGGCTTGTCACTTACCAGGCATTCTCCTAGCATGAGTCCTGGCACGTGACAAGTTCTCACCCAGTATGACACGGCACACACTGGGCACTCGCCTAGCACAGTGCCAGGCGCACAGTGCGTGCTCACCCTGCTCAGGGCTGACCATATCCTGGGTCCTCACCTGGCCCAGAATTTGGCATACATGGGGCATTCATCTCGTGCAGGACCCAGCAAACCACCAGGGTTCCCTGGCATGGGGCTGGCACACAGTGGGTCTCTCCCAGCACTGGACTTGGCAAACACTGGGTGCCTTCCTAGCGTGGTTTGACACACAGTAGGTCTTCTCCTATCTTAGGCACCAACACACAGTGGGCACACTCCTTAGAGGACAAGGACTAACACAGAGGAGCTGCCGTCCTAGCCAGGCCAGCCTGCCTGCACGATGACTGGACAACCCTAGATTCACAACTACAGTCTCCCCAGTGAAATGGAGAGTATCTAGATCCAGAGGAAAAGGCCCAACCTCCTCAGGCTTCCTCTCTGGACCTAGGACCTACCCTCCATTCCACTTGGCCTCGCTCCGCACCCTGGCCTCCCTGGAGCCCACCGACTCAGCTCTGTGGCCTCCCCTCCCTTCACACAGCTTCCTGGCAGCCCCACCACCCCAGCACGTTGCAGTCCTGCCTCAGCAGGACCTTCCCTCGGAGTCACAGGTCGCAAACAAAGCCCCTCGACTCCTTGGCCCTCTGAAGGAATGCCTCCTCTTCTTCAGAGAAGTCAGAGGCGGGCTTGGGGAAGCCGTCCTCCCTGAGTGGGACTAGAGCAGCTGGATGCCGCTAATGAGGCCTCATTACGGCCAGAACCCAGCAGGGCTGCTGCCGCCTGCTGTCCCCATGGCCAGAGCCAGAGAAAGCTGTCCAGCCAGGGCTGCCTATTCTGGGCACCCGGCCCAGGCCAGGGTCAACCAAAGCCCAGAGCCCACCCTGGGTGGAAGTGAGCATTTGGGCATCATGGGTAACTGGGCCTTCCTGGAGCCAGTGGCCCAGCCAGGAGCTAGGTCCTCAGTCTGGCCTCGCAGGAAGTCAGCAAAAGTCAGCAGAGCGTGTCTGGGGACCCAGCCTCACGAGGCTGGCCTGGAAGCAGCTCAGTTGCTAGGGTCTGAGGCCATTCTCTTGGGAGACTTGCTTGAGCCAAGATTACTCCCCATCTTCCCTTCCCAAATGGGCATAGTAGCATACTGACGTCAAGAGGCTGTTGGGAGGATTAAATGAGTTAATATATATCAGTATGAAGTGTTTAGAACAGCATCTGGCTCACAGTAAGCACTTCATATATATGATCTATTATTATTATTTATAATGCTTACTAGCTTCAAAGATAGGTAGATATGATCCCCATTTTAGAGATACAGAAACTGAGACCAGACAAGTAAAGTAACTTGCCTAAGGAGATACACGGAGGGAGATCCACCAGAGCTGGGCTGGAACCCAGCTCTGTCTGACTAAAGACTTTCCCTTTAGACATAATGATGTGGGGACTCCCCTGGTCATCCAGGGGCTAGGAGTCCGCCCCCAGTGCAGGGGACACAGGCTCGTTGCCGCTGGTCAGAGAACTGAGGCCCCACATGCCACAGAGCAGCTAAGCTATTGCACCACAACTAAAAAGCCTGTGCGCTGCAACTTAGACCCAAAACAGCCCAATAAATATTTTAAAAATAATAATAACAGAAAAGGTTAAAATAACAGAAAAGGTTAAAATAAAATGCCATGTTCCCATTGGGGTCAGCACACTTACCAAACTCACAGGGGAGCTGTCCTTTACATCAGAATTCATGCTTGATCTTAGGTTACTAAGATCCTACGTAGTACCAGACCCTTTGCCCACCCATCAGTTTCCCAAAACTGGAAGCTGAGTCTTCCCAACACCAGGACACTTGTACCCGCCTTCCTGGTCACTGGTTTGTGGTGTCTCAGCACCCACTGGAGACTGGCCAGTGAGTGTGGCCTCAGAGAAGAGGCATTGAGGGTCAGAGTGACAGTCTACGCAGATCACTCGGCACTGTCTCTCAGAGGGACCGCCTCAGGTTCAGCTGACGCAGTGCTCATCCTCAGGGGTCCGTGTTCAGCAGCTGCCCTCTCAGCTAATGCTATCTTTCTTCAGACAGGTGAGAGCGCAGTTCACCAGGCCACCACTCTTTTGCACAGTCAGTCCCATTCTTCTGTGAGGACACATCTACCGTCTTGGCTGGCTGGAGATCCCCAAGTCCGGGGGGATTGCTCAGGGCCCATCACCCTCGGTCCTCAGCAATCTGCGGAGTCTGAATGCTCTGGGAGTGCCCTGTGGCTCCATCCCCTTCTCCCTGCCCCTTCACCCTCTCTGGGGCCCAGTGGTACCCAGCCTTGTGACCAGGGGCCCACCCGGTGCCAGGCCTGTCTGCTCAGAAGCATCTGGGCCCAGCCCCCACTCTAGAATGGGAAGGAGCTGCCCTCTGTCTGTCCTGGGCCCGCTCTGCCTCACCTGTGGTTGTGAGTGTGTGTATGTGTCGTTTGTTCCCATCACTTGCTGGGAACGAGGGAGAAACACAACAAGCCCCCCGCCTCACTCCAGCTGTGGAGCCCCCGCGCTGGGGGACATGGGGACAGCCGGAGCGGGAGGGCTGGGGAGGGGGAGGCAGAGCTTTGGGAGGAGATGAGGTATAGTAACGGATGCTGCCCAGCAGGCAGTGGAAGAGGCAGGGATGCATCAGTGTCGCCTGGAGCTGGCGGAAGTGTCGATGAGTGGAGATGCACACACTCCACTCCAAGTGTTCACCCCAGGATGGCGGTGGCTCAGGGACCTGCGGACCCCTCTTCGCCAGAACAGGTCAGTCATTTTCCAGGAGGCCGAGCCCCCTCTCTGGCGCCAGGCAGACTGGGAGGCAGGACTGGGGCTGGGGAGAGGGGCTGAGTGGTGTGTGCCAGGGAGGGGCAGGCACAGCCAGCCAGAGAGGCCGGCAGCAGCAGAAGTGACGCAGAGAGTTGCAAGTGTGCAGAGGAGCAGGAAGAGTTGGCTGTGTGGCGGGGGCGCGGGGGAGGAGAATGGGGGTGTGGGCCCCCCGCCCAAGGACCTGCAGAGAATCTGTTCTGTGCATCCAAGCTGCATTGTCCTAGCTCCCGGGGAGACGGGCCGGAGGTGCCCAGGACTTGCACTAATCAATTCAGCCCCATTGTCTGCGCCATGGGAGTTACTCCCATGTGGAGAGTGGGTGAGGGGGCAGGGGGACTTGGTACAGGGGCTGCGTGGGGAGAATGGGGGAGGGGGCGGGTGAGCGTCTCAGCTGGGAGGTGACAGACCCTGCGGAATGGTCACCAGTGTCCAGGATGAGGGCCTGGGTGGGGTGGGCACCACCGGTGTGCCCTCGTCCCTGGAAGCCGGGTATGGGCGGGGATGGCAGGCACAATGTGGCTGATGGCAGTGAGGGAGAGGGGACTGGGACCTTCTTTCTCTGCAGTGCATCCTGACTTGACCTCCAGAAGGCAAGAGAAGGCATGTCTTCTGGGGAGACCTGGGTTGGGTTTGGGAGTAGCATCATGCAGGCCTGCCCTCCACCCTCAGGACTGCCAGGGTCAGCAACCAAAGCCACTTCCAAGATGCCAGCCTGCTGTCAGCTGACTGGGGTAGAGGCTGCTCATGGCTGCCACAGTGAGAGGCAGGACTGCTGGGCTCCAGGGCAGAGACAGTGCCCACCCAATGGTCCTGTCACTACTCCCAGGGTCTGGAGTGGAGCCTGGCATGCCTGGGCCGCATCTCCTGTCCGGCATCCACAATATTGGTGCATCAGTACTGGCAGAGCCCTCTGCCAGTCAGGGCTCTGGGATGAAACAGCACCGGGCACGTCCTTGCTTCTCTCACCTCCCATGTGAGGGTCTGATCTCCTGAGAGGTGCCGTGAGGTTTTCCTTGAGGCAGGAGACACTCATAGCCCCTGCATACTGCTCGAGTCTGGGGAAGATTTTCCCATGGTCCCGCTCCTCCAGCCCGGCCCTTGACTCTTTCACGTGTCTGGATCAGGGAGCCAGTTGAAGGATGGAAGGCTCTGTATTGCAAGGCAGGTGCTACCTCAGAAAGACAAGTTGGGGAACCAAGAACCAGGGGGTGTGAGGTCATGGGGTCTCCCGGGGCAGCCACAGTTTACGGTTTACAGTCATGGTTGTTCTGCCTGAATTTCCCCACTGGAGCTCAGAGAAGGCTGGCAGGGATCTGGATTTGGCTCAAGGTCAGTCTGGGATGTAGGGTCTTGCCCGTTCGCCTCTGCAAAGTTTCTTAGATAGGACTTCATCCCTTGAGCAAACCCTGGGGCTGCAGAGTCCTGGACAAGAAGCCGGCCGGCTCCCAGCAGGGCCTGCCCGTCCTGGCCTGCTCCAGGAGTCCTCAGTGTCCACTGAGAGCAGAAGAGAGAGCGCTTGATTCACAGAAATATCCAGTGGACACTGCTCTCGGAGGGCGGGAGTTGGTAGCCTGAGCACAGCCATCTCCCAGAGTAGAAAGCTGGGCTGCCTCTGAGTCTGGACACGAAGAAGGGAGGGGCGCCCCTGCGGTGCGGGGTGGGAGGGCGGCCTCTGGGAGTGGGTTCTGCAGCATTGTGTCCTCTTTACACTTTGCTGTAGTTTCCAGTTTTTTTTTTTTAATGATAAGCTCTTAATTGGAAAGAAAGCAATACCAATTTTTTAAGTTGTTTAGAAAGCCAGTGGGAGCTAATGGAAAATACAGGAGAGAGTCAGAAATAGCAAATTCCAGGCAAGGCAGAGCTACAGAATCTAAGGAGATCTATTGAGGTTGTCTCTCTATCCCCTGATTTTATAGCTAAGGTCTCTCAATGCTGAGAGTGGAAGAGGTTCCGACTCCTGGGGGTGCAGGTTCTAGAATGCTAGGATGCTAAACCCCAGTGTGAGATCCCCGCCCTGCCAAGTCCAAGGTGTGGGGGGAGCTCTGGTTTCTGCCCTCGGAGGTGAACTGCCTGATTTCCAGGAGCTCACCCGGAGCAGATAATAAAGAGAGGGCAGAGGGCTAGGGAAAGGACTTACATAAGCAACTGCTCAGAGTGGCTCACCCTCCTGGGCAGGAATTGGGTGGGAGGTTGTGAACCCAAGACAGGTCACAGATCCTTGTGCAGGCATGGACACTGCTGCCTCAATGAATGCTTCGAAGGACAGGGGTGCTGAGGGTCTTACGTGTGTATGTCTTTGCATGGCAGATGTCGTGGAGGATGATCAGCCAGCCCACCCACACAGCTGTGGAAGGCACGTCCCGTAGCCTGCATCCTGCTGGGCCTGGGGAAGATTGGGCCCAGGACGAGGCAATCCCCACCCTGGAGATCACCCATGAGGCCCATGACGACGAGTCAGAGGTGAGGGTAGGGGCTATCCAGGGAACCCCAGGAGGAGGGACCAACCCAGAAAGCCACCAGGCCCCTCTGGTTTAACTCAGCAGCCAGGTGTGAGCGAGGGAGGGAGGTTGGGAGGGCATTGAGGGGCAGCAGACAGTGGGAGATGGGTGATGGGCAGCAGGAGCCTGGAGCCTGGCCAGTCGGCGGGGCTGAGGTGGGTTAGGCAGATGGGCCACCAATCTGGGTCAAACCCATGAGCACAAAGAGATTCTTTTGTGGGCACCTCAGAGCCAACAACCTCTGCAGGGACTGTTACTATCAGTGACAAGCCTTCCACCCAGCAGGTCAAAAAGAATGGAGGGCTTAGAATGAGGAAAATTATGCAAGGAGAAAAAAACTTGTGCGGCATTGGAAAAGTCTCGCCAGCCTTGGGCATTGCTGTCCAGGAAGGAAGTGGAGGGGAGTTCCCAGAGGAGGGCTGGAAAGGAACTAGAGCCCCCAGGAGCCCCCACAGAGGGACCCTGCCCTCCAGTGTGCTTGGAGGAAGATGGGCTTCTTCTGTCCTTTGCTGAGCGCCACGCCCTCACCAGTCAGACTGGCTGCCCACAGCTTGCACTGGAATGAAAAGTCAGAGGCCTGGCTGTGGCGCAGGCCCCCTCAGCAGCATCTCCTCCACAGCTCCTGAATGGGGCTCTGCAGGGCTGGGGTACAGGGCCAGGGAGCAGCCGCTGGTGCTGCTTCTGCCGGGAGCTCCTCCCACCACTTGCAGGGCGTCATCGCACCTCCTTCTGCACAGCGGACCCCTCATGTTGTCTTCCTTCCCGCCACAGTCCCAGCCCCAAGTCCAGTTCCAGGCCCCGTCCAGGGGCACAGCCAGCAGGGCTGAGCTGCCGAGGCAAGGCTCGGTGGTGCTGCTCGTCAGTGCCCCCCCACCCCGACTCCTGAGGGCTCAGTCAGCCAGTGACTCGCTGCAGGGGGCTGGGGGGCTGGTGAGGGAGGGCCCGCTTGGCACCCTCTGGCAGGCCCTCTTCTCTCTGTGCTCCTCCGCCAAGCCTGCCTGCGGCTCCTGCCTGCAGAGGGGAAGCCCAGGGTGGGGGTGGGCACCTGGAGGGTCCACGGTGTCCCCACTGGGGGAGGCCTGAAGGGTCAGGCCCCTCATGCCAATGCCTTGCTGATGGTGGCTTTTCTCCTGTCTGCACAGAACGGTGCCGTGCCCAGCGAGGCCACCGAGAAGGACCACAGCCACCAACAGGGCAACTGGCGCAACCGGATCCAGCTTGTCCTAACACACGTGGGTTATGCCGTGGGCCTAAGCAGTGTCTGGCGCTTCCCATACATCTGCTGTCACAACAGGGGCGGTACACAGTGGGCCCAGGGCAGGGACCACCCACGTGGATAGAGCCCAGCCCCTTCCGGCACAGACCCCGCTCCAGACAGGCTGGCCTCTGGCCCTAATCTCCTTTGCCCCCACCCCTGGCTTAGGTACCCTTTACCCCCTGACCTTGGCAGCCTGATCCCTTGGGGGGAGAAAAGGTAGAGAGTAAAGCATGTCTTCCGCCCCGCCATGCCCTGGCAACTCTGGCCCAGCCTTTCCTTTGGTTCTTACCTGGCTGGTGAGGGGGATGCCCAGAAGGAAGCCAGCCACAGCCATGACAAAGGTCATGTAACTCTTTTTATGCCGGATCCACTCATTCCCTACCTCATTCACAATGGCTGTGATGAGCATCGCCAGGAGGCCAACCTGCAGGATACGGCCATCAGAGCAGGGGCTACCCTTGGCCCTGCCTCCTCCCGCCCCAAGCCACAGGCCCGAGTCCCGCACCTCGTACCTGAGTGCGCAGCCCCAACCAGATGAGCATGAAGAAGAATATCAGGGACCAGATTGGGGTGATGGGCAGCAGTGTGAGGGCCTCTCTGTATACCCTGAAGGCCAGGCCCAGGCTGTGGTCTGCCACATGGGACACGTCCACACCCAGGTGGTTGGCCATGAAGCCCAGGATGGAGAAGATGAAGCCGGCACAGACGCTGGTGGCATAGATAGCTATGCTTTTGACGACAGTCTCTCTGATGGGGAGGGAAACACGTGGTCAGGACACGCAGCTTAGTTCCTCCAGCCCAACTTGGGCCAGCAGACTTGGAGACAGGGAAAGATCTAGAACAAAAGTACCCCCAATCTCCTCTTTGGTCTGTTCTGGGCCTCTTTAAGTGGGCGTGAGGCTCTTGAATCCTTACAGACCCCTGGGGCATCACTGTCGTCACCCCTTCTCTCTTCTGCCTGAGTGTTCTCTGTTCTACAGTGACTGGAACCAGATCCGGCATTGCCAGGATCTCCAGACTGTGAGTGGAAGGGAGGGTGCTGGCGGGCCAGAGGGCTGCACTGATCTGGTGGGTCAGAGGGAAGCAGGGTCAGGCTGCAGACAGGGCAGGAACAGGGAGGGGTCAGCTCCAGCGCTGGCGGAGAGACTCTCACCGGTAACAGTTGTTGTGGAATTACTTGTTAGAAGCCAAGGTGATGAGACCGCCCCACGTGCAGCCCAGCGATTAGAAGACCTGGGAGGAGGCATCACCTCCTCCATACCTTCAGGAGGAGCTGCGCTCAGAGGCTGGCGCCTCTCTGTCCCTCTCCGTCCCTCCAGGTCACCTTGCACCCACAGCCCACCTTGGCCTCCAGGATCTTTTCCCACTGTGGGGTTAGGTAGTACTTGATGCCGGTAGATGCTCCTTCCAGGGTCACGCCATGTAGGGGAATGTGGCCGTAAAGTACACCACCTGGGGGTGAGAGGGGCCCCACTGGACTCCTTTGGGCTCTTCCCACTCCACCCCCCAACCTGCCCCCTCAACCACCACGGGTCCTCTGGTCCCTCTTTCCCGCCTACATGCTTTCATCACGCCCCCACCCACCCCTCCACACACAAAACCCAGGCAAGGGAGGCAGGAGATTCCTGAGTGGGCACAGATCCTGGAGGGAGGACGACTTAGCTTTCCTTGAGTACTTAACCACTCTCAAGATACAGAAGACAAACATGCAGAGGATAAAGAGGGAGGCGAGGGGAAGCCACTCCTTCCTGAAGTTTCCTGTATCATGTGACATGTCCAGCACGTAGAGCCTAGGAGGGGATGCTCTGTCACTGAGGGCCAGCTGCACCATCCAGCAACATCCCCAAGGCCCAGGGCCCAGCCTAGCAGCTCCCTGCTGTCTCACGGAGTCCCAGTCGTCGGCTTGTCTGAGATGGGAGCCTTGGCAAGGCCGCAGCCCCAGCCTGCCCAGGCCTCTCTGCCTGTTGTCTCTCCCCGGATCCTCGAGGGTGCCTGCGGGCCACACCCCAGGCCTGGGCTAGCTTCCTCAGCCCCTGGGGTGTGGAGGTCTCCCTTGTCCCTGCTCAGACCCAGCCCAGACCTTTCCTTTAGGAAGGCCCTCTCTTCCAGACCAGATGCACCCTATCTAGTGGTGGGGTTTGCTGGGGGGCCCCAGTAGCAGTCTGGAAGGGTCTCAGGTCATGTTCCCAGATACCTGCTGGGGCTCACGTGGCCTCTGAGGCCCCCACTCTCTGCCCTGAGCTGAGGTTCTGGGCGGGCCCCCTACCTGTCCCTGAGCCTTCGGCCTCCTGACCAGTGTTCCCGCCCTTGGGGTGGACCCCAGCCTCCGCCCAGGCTAATTCAGATCTTCCTACCTGGAGACAGGGTGAGGGGCCGGGGGCGGGGGGGCGCGGGGTGCTGTGCAGTGTACGGGTCAGGCTGTGCGGCCCAGCCCTTTTGTCTGATTATTTTTGTAAAAATTGTATTATGTGTGGTTGCTACCCCCTCACCCTTGGCCTCGGGCCCTCTGTCTTCCAGGCCCGCCTGCACGTCCCTCGGCAGCTGTGAGGTCTCTGTGCCTCCTTCCAGCACTGACTGTCAGGGCCAGCCTAGCAGAGGCCCATGACCCAACAGCCCGCCCAAAGAATTTGTTTCTGGGGGCTAGGGATCGGGTGATGCTCAGTAGGAGGTTTGAGCCCAGAGCCCTGGGAAAGTGGACCCTACACGACACCGCCTTGCCCTACCACTACCAGGCTAAAGCCCAGTCTTCCTGAACTGGGCTACCCTTGTTGACGTGCCAGATTGCCCCAGCCCGTGTGCCCCAACCACTCTCTGGAGCCCAAACTCCTTTCCCCGAGCCCTGCAGTGTCCGTGTGTCTGTCCTCCATGCCCGTCTGTGCAGTGACAGCCCTGGAAGAGCTGCCTCTAATCCTCTGAAGCAATAACGGTGCGCGTCCCACCCCAACCATGTGCGTACCACTAGGTTTATAAAGTCCATAGGTTTTAATGAAATTTCTATTCCTGTTTCTGAGCTGCTGCTGTGCTTTGTCTGGGTCCTCCAGGGGGACATGAGTCAGGGCTGGGACAAAATCTCCTCCTGCCAGGCCTGTGGGGGGAATGCCTGGGAGGAGAAAGGCCAGAGGCTATGACAGTCAGGACCGGAAACTGAGGACCTAGGGAGAAGGTGGGGGGGGGGGGGGCGGCCAGACAGACAGACAGCATTGGAATCCTGGGGAGGGCTCATCATAGACTAGATCAGAAGTGGGCTGGACCCTGCGGCTGAAAGAGAGCAGGAGCAGACAGGACGAGTTCCAACCCAAGCTGAAGCCACCTTCCTGAGCAGCCCTTCGGGTTGGGGCCTGGGGCGCTGCACTGGACATCAGAGTTGAAGCTGGTCTTTTCCCAGGGCAGCACTGAATCTTCAGTCCCCAACGGCAGATGACGGCCAGGCCACAAGGTTTGGGGCAGCGCTCCAGAGGGGAGCGGGCAGGCAGCAGTGGAGAAGCCTGGCCCAAACTCCAGCAGCCCCAAGGAGGCAAGGCAGGAGTCCGGTGCCCTGGCTGGAGGACCCCAAGGGCTGTGGTCTGAAGGGGACAGAGTAGCTGTGAGGGGGCCGTGGTCTGCCCCTCAGCCTGCCCCATCCAGCTGTCTCTCTGCTCTGGGTTTCCTGTGGCTGGGGGAGACACAGGAAGTCCTGAGGGGTGCCTGCGGCTCTTGTTGCATGGCTGCCTTCTGTCCTTTAGCTCTGGAGGGGAGGTTCTGCCTGAGACACAGCACCCAGTCTTCCAGGGTGTGTTACAAGAGCAAGGTGGGCCTCGGTGGGGGGAGCGGAGCGCTGGGTGCTCGGGGCCTTCTAGGGTCTTCACCTGCCAGGGTGGGCTCTAGGCTTGCCTCAGAGGGCTGAGGGGCCCCTGAATACTCATCTTCCAGGCAGCGCTGCAGGGAGAGCTGGCTCAGTGCCTGGCTTTACTGCAGGGGCGGGGCAGGACTGGGCAGGGTGCCCAGGCCAGGATCCCCATGGCGGGGCGCAGGAATCAGCCTGTGCAGTCTCTTCCTCCCAACCACCTGGGGGCACTCCTGAGAGGAACACCAGCCTCTCCCTGAAAAGCTGAACTTGGCAAGGGGGTGGAAGGCCTGAACCCAGACTTGGGGAAGAGAAGGAGGCAAAAGACCTAGGCCGACCCAGCAGTTGATCTAAAAGTGCTGACCTCGGTCTTAGGGACTCAAGTGGAATATGGGTTCACGTACTTAAGGGTCACACACATAAGAAGTGTGCACACAGGAAAAACGGCCCTAGGGTTCACACAACCTTTGCAGGCACAGGCACACAGAGACACGTGTGGATCTCACACTCTGGCTGAGAGACGGGGGTGTCTACGCTCAGCAGAAGGGCCGGGGGCGGGGCGGCCAAGGACTGCAGCTCACCTGCGGGATGGGAATCTCCCTCTCCAGCACATGGCACTCTTCCTCCAGGAGGGCCCTGGGACATGGACGGTGCAGCACCAGAAGCAGCGTTGCAGGCCCGGGTCTCAGCAGAGCCCTCCACGCGGTCCCAACCTCCTGCCTCCCCAGGAGCCTCCTCCAGGCCCTCCTATCTCGGTCCACCTCTCCCTCTGCTGCCCTCATGCTGTTCCAGCACAGCCTTGCAGCCCTGCCAGCCTCTTCCCGGGCAGGGTGTGTCCTCTCTCCTTGCCCGCCTCCCAGTGCCCACCGTGAGGAGCAGCAGTCTCTCTTCTACACGGTAGGACTCGGCTTGCGGGTCCTCCTGCCTCCATTCTCCCCCACATGACAGCCCTGCCCCTGCTTTCAAAACTCGTGTGTGTCACTTCTTCCCCACCTCCCAGGATCAAAGTCCTTGGGCCAAGGCCCGTGTAGGCGTCTGTACTTGACTGATTCCCGGCAGCAACCTGATCAGCATCCTGCCCTTTCCACCTCTCAGCCCCACTCTCCTGGGTCTCCCAGCCAGGTGTGTTCCCTCCCTTCTCCTCCCAGTAGTCCCAGTACATCAGGGTCCACCCGCAGTCCCGCCCTCCCTGTCCCCACCCCCACTGCACACACTTGGGGGCCTCACCGCAGGTGTCCAGCAGCCTGGTCAATGTGGGA